AAGTCATTACAGTTAACATAAGCCTGAAAACAGGGGCGGATTTAGGAAAATCGGTCTCCGCCAGTCACGTGACATTTGTTGCTAAGACGCCATTTTAAGTGGAAAAAACATAGTGTACCGCGCCCGAGGTAAACAATTGACGTCACTTGGCGGAGACCGATTGCGGTGTGTTGTTTGATGTTGCTTTTTGAGAAAATGCTTTACAAATCAAACACAAATAAAATCAATTTATTAACTGCGCTGATTTAACCAATTCAAGATTTGTTTTCATTGACTAATTTAGACATCAGTTGCCATTGGAGATTATTCTTATTCTTTACATTTTTTTGGCGCTTGGCCAAATAGATGCAGTTCCGCCACCTACTGGTAGGGAGTGTGGACCAGAATGACTGTTATTATTAATTAAATTCTGTTATTTTTAAGTAAGGAATTATTATCCTTTAAATGTTACTTTCTGAATCACTTTTAAAAAGAGCAGTGCGTTTGTGCTCTTAGAAGGTTAAAGTACCTGGTTCAATCCCCATAGCATCCACTCTGGGTTCCTGAGCAAAACCATTAACCCCACACTGCTCCCCGGGGGCTGCACAATGGCATTTAACCCATTCCCTCCCCAAGGGAATGGGTTAAATGCAGAGAGTGAATTTCCCTATTGTGGGACAATAAAGGGATTTACATTCATATTTATTACAGTACAACATGACATCTTCTATTGTTTCATCTACACCACTGTATTCACGTTTCCTATTCCTATGTTTCCCTAAAATAAACAGAGCACCATTTAATCTAGTATGCCCAAATCTCAAATGAGAAATAATTGATTTTTCTCATCTTGTTCTTCTGATTTCTACAGTTTTCTTTTGAATTTTATAAAAAACAATGTCCTCTTTTTCCTTGCTCCCATTCCTTTTGTCATTTATCCTTTTTTTTCTGTTTGATTAACATGTTAACTTCCTATATACAAAAATTTATAATTAAATACACTGTTAAATCTCTAACAGCTTCCTTTGCTTTCCCGACTACCTGTTCATTTCCTTTAAGTCTACAATGTGCTGGTCTCCATACAAAAATTATAATTTAAGCCATCATATTTATTCTATATAGTGTCTGTTGAATTTCTATTAAAATATCTGGCCTGTTTTCTGGATGACTATAATGCAAACTAATTAAGGATGAATTTGAATCTGAACATATGACTGATCTGAATGGCTTAACATCTTCAACCCATTGAATAGCTGATAATATTGCAATCATGTCTCGTGTGTAAAAAAAGTTGATCACTTATTCTTTTCCTAATTTTAACATTGAATTCTGGTCATTTAAAAGCTACTCTTGTTTGATATTATATTTTTAGAAGCATCTGTATATTTCTTACATAACTATAATATTTATTAATATAATCCTGTACTATAAATGCATTTAGAGTGAATTCCTTATTGCTTCTCTTTTTCAACAAAGTAAAATCTACATTGACATCTGGAATAATCCAAGGCTGTATTATTGATAATGGAACTGTTTGGCTTATACTAATCTGATCTATTTTGAATCCTTTTCTACACAATCCAACCAAAACTTCTAATGTCTTTTATTTCTTTTTCCCAACGGGGTTTTATTGCTTGATGAGTTGGATGATCCTGTCTATGACCTTTTAAGTTAGCAGAATCATTTAAGGTTAATTGCTATCTTCTTAATGCAAGTGGCATTTCTCCTATTTCTACTAATAATGCTGCTGTTGGAGTAGCTTTAATTGCCCCAGTACAAAACCTCAATGTTTGGTACTGAATACGATCTAAATTTTTGTCTCTGCTGCTGAATTATATACAATGCGTCTATAATATATCACTGATCTAATTAGCCCTGTATATATATATATCCTCAAGTGCTATTCTTAATCCTATCTTTAAGTGCTAAGATATTTAATACTTTCTTGCATTTGTCTAAAACCTTTTGAATGTGTATATTCCATGTAAGTCTTTCATTAAACCAAACCCTTACAAATTTAAATTGCCTCACTTTTTCTATTTCTGGTTACCGGTATATAAGTTTTATTGCTTCATTTTAAATGATTACAAAATGTATTCCTTGAAAAGAACATTGTTTTAGTCTTATCCCTAAAGAAAATGTAAACCCTTCTTCTTCATCTTTTTAGTAATAAACTCCAAATTCCTCCCTTTCATCCACATTGCTCCATCATCAGAAAAAAGAGAAAATCCCACTCCACAATCTACATTTTGAAACACATGATCTATCATTATCGAAAATAATAAAGGACTTATTATGCTTCCTTGTGGAGTACCGTTTTCAACAATATATTTATCAGAATAGTGATTTCCTATTTTAACTTGTACTTGTCGTTTAGTTAGAATATCTTTACATCCTACCTGTAATACATCAATCTTGTTAATTTTAATTAAAAAACCTTGTTTACGCAAAATATCATATGTTTTCTCAATAGCAAAAAACACTGCTAAAATACTTTATTAATTTGCACTTTTCTGATTTCAAATTCCAAACTCAAAACTACATATATAGTATTCCTTCCGCCCCTAAAGCCACTTTATTTTGATATATATCCTTATGATTCAATGTAATAAATCCTCCTTTCATTAATCTCTTTCTCCACTATTTAAAAATATTTGATGTTAACGCAATAGGGCTTTAATTTTCAGGCTTTGTATACATATTGGTATTATTATAACAATCTCTATCTAACTCTCTAGTAATTTTCGATTTTCCCAAACTTTATAATAAAGTTTGAATAAAATGTCTTTTTAAATGTTAAATAGACATTAAATGTCTATTTAATGTTTTAACATTAAATAAAAAATTAAATCTTTTCTTGGTGTTGTTAGTTTACCTTTCTGGAGAGCTCGATTTAATTCAATCGACATTCAATAAATCATTTTTTACATTTTCTATCTGCTCTGATATCTGTCTGTTTTCTAATACTGTCATTTCTCTTTCCCCATTCCCTTCCAAAGTAATATTATCTGAGCTATATATTTGATAAAAATATTTGCCATCATTTATACACATTCTTCATCCTTAACTGCTGGATTACCATACTGTATTTTAATACCAATAATTTTTTTTAAATCATTGATCATACTTTTAATCTATGTTTCTCTTCCCACTGAATTACAAAAATCCTCCAACAATCCTTTTTTGCATTTTTTTTATAGTTCTTCTCACACGAGTCTGACATCTCTTTTATTCCATAATATTCTGTGAACAGTGATTCCTTTTCAACGTTTTAAAAGTTTCATTTCGATTTTTGTAATTATTTTATCACACTCATTTTCCATCATGATCCATGTTTTCAAAAATCTCCTGCTTCTTCTTCTTTGTTAGATTGGCGGATTGCAAACAATTTATAGGAGTATACCGCCACCTACTGTCCATGAGTGTGTAGCTCTTTGTTACATAAAAATAAAAACAATGCTTTATCAATAACCTAATTTTACTCCCTATTTCCATCTGTCCCTAAAATTCATTTAATACTCAATTTTCTCTCTTTTTCCATATTTACTTTCTTCTTTCTTCTTTGTGCGTCAATTTTAGCAACTGGGCGGTACTTACAAGCGAACGGAAATGACGTAATTGGAGGAATTATAAAACAGACGTTAGCGCGCTCATTCCGGCTCAAACTTTTCTTCCTGCTGTCGGAGTGGTCCGTGGAGGAGACTCAGTGCCAGCTATCAACACAAAAACCAAATCTGTCTCTCCCGCTTCACGTTAACTCTCTGTTCCTGCTTCCATTTCGACGGAGCGACGCTTTAAAGCGGAAAGAACAGACTTTTTCTCCTCTCTCCACGCAGACGCAAATACCCCACAGCAAACATGTTCGAGGCTCGCCTGGTGCAGGGCTCCATCCTGAAGAAGGTGCTGGAGGCTCTTAAAGATCTGATCACAGAAGCCTGCTGGGATGTTAGCTCGTCAGGCATCTCGCTCCAGAGCATGGACTCCTCTCATGTCTCCCTGGTGCAGCTCACTCTGCGGCATGATGGCTTCGACTCTTACCGCTGCGATAGAAATTTGGCCATGGGGGTCAACCTCAGCAGGTGAGGCCAACCGTCCTATAGATATCTTATTAAGTTTAGGACCGTTACATTTACGCTTGATTAATTTATTACATGAAACATGTACTTTTGATGATCAGGTGAAATCAAATGATAACGATGGTTACCAAATTGGACGACGAATGGTGAAAATAAAGTTTATTTTTTGGGGGTAACTTTAAAGCTTTAAAGCAATATCTATAGTATTTGGTTTCGCTTATATTGATCCGCTGTTGCTATCATAAAGAAGGAGGCCATCTTGGCGGATTTGCCCGGGCTTGTTTCTCTGCCGAACTGCGCAATCATCATATATATGTATATTTTTTCCGCTTGCAAAACCCACAAACGTTGATCCGAACGCTCCTTATTATTTTTTTTTAATTAGTTTAAGGAATATATATCAGTGACTTGAAATGCGCACTCAGTTAAGCGCCAAATAATTTTGCCGGGTGAGTTGGCGGGAATTATTTAACCCGGGAACTTCTACTTCCGGTTTCGTCACGTAGTAAGGCGGAGCCTTTTCTTTAGTCTTCTGTTCACATTGATTGTTCAAGTTACTAAAATATGTATATATATTTTAGTGTATGTATATATATATATATATATATATATATATATATAAACAAACATACAGCTCATCTCTCCTCGTTGTAATCAAGAGTCTAAAGTTTTACAACCTTTTTTTCAGTATGTCGAAGATCCTGAAGTGTGCAGGAAATGAAGACATCATCACCCTCAGAGCAGAAGATAATGCAGATACACTGGCCCTTGTGTTTGAGACCCTCAGTAAGTGTGTAGTGGTATAGCAAATTGTGATTGTCTACAGCATGGTGTAAAGATTGATTAGATGTCTCAATCTGACTTTATCGCTTTAAAATATTTTTTTTGAAAATGAATCATGTTGTTGCCTTTATTAATTTTCAGATCAGGAGAAGGTCTCTGATTATGAGATGAAGCTGATGGACCTGGATGTTGAACAGCTTGGGATTCCAGTAAGTAATGACCTGAACCTAGTTGGTCAAGAAAAACACTGGTGATGTTTTCTTGTTTTATACAAATGAAAATCATTATGTAAACTGGAGTGTATTGGATATTGTGTGAAATATTTAGATGCGGTGACGTTTTTGTGACAATAGATCTAATTTCTTGTCCCAATTTTTATCTGAGCTCTTACCAGCTTTAACCTGTCTGTGTGTGACCTGCTCCTTACGTTTCCACATCTATCCCCACAGGAACAGGAGTACAGTTGTGTGGTAAAGATGCCCTCTGGCGAGTTTGCCCGCATCTGCCGTGACCTGTCTCAGATTGGCGACGCTGTCATGATCTCCTGTGCTAAAGATGGAGTGAAGTTCTCAGCTACTGGAGAACTGGGTACCGGAAACGTCAAGCTGTCACAGACCAGCAATGTGGACAAAGAGGATGAGGCTGTGAGTGTGAATGCGTTAACTTGCAGTTTTACTTGGATTAGCTTTGTTAGGTGTCGATTTTCACTTTCTTTTTCTCTGTTAAGGTAACAATTGAAATGAATGAGCCGGTCCAGCTGATCTTTGCCCTGAACTACCTGAACTTCTTCACAAAGGCCACACCCTTGTCCAAGACTGTCACCCTCAGTATGTCTGCCGATATCCCCCTCGGTAAGTGGATGGGTTTTATTTAACAAATATGCATCCTGAAGTGCTTCTTTTGTAGCCAGGACTGACAGGGTTTCTTTCCACAGTGGTTGAGTACAAGATTGCTGATATGGGACACGTCAAATACTACCTAGCCCCCAAGATTGATGAGGAGGCTTCCTAATCTGTCTACATGAATCCAAAAAGGGAGAAACGGGAGAAGATGACTGGGACTCCCCCTGAATGATGGAAGGACAGAAATGATCTTGTTTTTATCATCGTGCACTAAAGGTCAGCAGCCGTGTGAGGTGATCATCACAGCGGCTGGTTTTTGTCCTGATGTCCCCCAGCGTTTAAATTCCAGCACTTGTTCATCTGTTCTCGTTTCGCTCTTGTGTTGGATGGGAAACCCAATTTTCAAGTTCTTTTGTAGATAACACACATGTAAATAAGTCCTACAGTTTTCTTGCTGTCGGTCAACTCCGGATGTTTTTGTATGAATAAAATCGGTCCAAAATAAAACTCCTTGTTTTAAACATTTGTCTTTGACTAAGTATAACATTTAAGTTCGGTTATAGACTGAATAGACCTATTCAGGTGAAAGTCTAACCAAAGTGGAATATAAATTTAAGAGCTGGATATAGAATTTTATATTTTCTCATCTAGCCTAGATGACAAAGTTTTAAAATTCTATATCCAGCTCTTAAATTGATATTTATATACCTGAATTAGGTATTCATTAACCTTTTAATGTTGGTAACTGGCTTCTTCAACCAAAACAACATTGCTGGGAATTAGATTTTTGAAATGATTTTCTTACTTTGATGAAAGGTTTTTCTGAGATTTTGTTAACATGGTTTTATCATCCATGACAAGTGTCACAACTCGTTTAACCAAAAAAAAAACAGCCTACAATAGGTTTTATGTGTTAATACATTAGCTAGTTACTAAGGCGTTTAATGTCCCCACAGAAACTTTCAAAGTTTGACCTTTTCTGCCTCCCAACAGACTTAAAGTGGTAGTAACACTTTATTTACTTTAGTCTACACAGACTATAGCTTTAAATCAAATCAAAATAAAGCAACTTTGTTCAATCTCACTAAGAGAACAGCATTATATGGCAGTTCAACAAAATGACCAGTAGATGTCTCTCTTGTTATATCTTCACTGTGTTACCAAAGCCTTTGTGAAAGCACAGCAACCCTGTATCTGTCAAACATCTGTTAACCACAGATTTTTAAAGACATTTAATAAGCCCATTTTCCCAGGTTAAACAGGTGTGATAATGTAAAACAGTCCTCTGGGATCCTAAGTTCACTGTTTTTTCATAGGGTGTATCAAAGTTAATCAACTGAAAAATCTGGATTATAACTAGTCAGATTTCTGAGAAATTAAATCTAATCTGGTCTTCAGTCTTCTTAAATACTTTAGGCCATACAGAGCTGACAGAATGAACAAACATCACAATGATCCCATTTCTCAGTCCAAGTGGGGACATTTCACTTGTCCTAAGCTGGTTCTGGAGGGCAGGATGTTGGATGGACAGTTTTAATCCTCATAAAGCTTTAAGCTTTTGGACAGACACATCTGGCACTGGCTCACCACTTATCATAGATCAGTCCCATGGCATGACATAACTGGAAACTCACTGATTCCTGAGGACACCCATCACATTTCTCAGGTCTATTATCCTGGAATATTTGCATAGCTATGCCCCGTATGTTCATCTGACATTAAAGTGAAAATGGCTGTTTTTATCCATCTAACAGAATAAATAGTAATTTATGTCACTGCCTGGTGCATCCCTTTAATAACTTAATGCATAAGGACCTTCCTTCCTTCCTACCTCTGCCTCTTTCTTGCTCCTTATCCTTATTCAGTACTCATTTTTCTACCTTCCTCCATTCTCTTCCTTGTGTGAGTGACTGGTTGTTTTGGACTTTATATGTAAAGGATGTCCACTGTCTGCCATTATTATGTACAAGTCATCCTAGCAGGCTTGCATACAGATTGGAAATCCTGTGAGTCCTACTTAAAGTTGCCAAAATAAATAACCGGCACCTAGAACAAAATGCATTTTAGCTGAGTCTAACTTTAGAAAAGATACTAAAATGCTTTATGAGTTTCTTGTTTAGCAGTTTCTTAGCAACAAGCTCAGAGGAAACTTCTGGTCACTGGTAGATTGTTTCATTTTATGCCTCAGTGTCTGTAGCAATTAAGAAATGTCAAATGTTAATTAGTGAGCGCTAAAGGTGCTGCTTGAGGGATTTTCCTTTATCTCTTCAGAGCGCTTATCTTTCTGCTCATGTGCTAAGCTAAGCTATGTGGTCGCTGCATATTTTACAGCCTGTAAATCATTCTGTAAATGGAGATATTCAACATTTTTCTTTAGGAAAGGATGCTGTAAAAGGTTGCTCTCAGTGCACCTGTCAGAGCAGATGTTAGCAAATCAGAAGGCCTACTCTGCCAAAGCATTGGGATGTATCTGCTGAGAAGCCTCATAGATTTATTAATAACCATTTATCTGATAACTGTGGATTCCTGACTGTTCACTACATGTGTTTTAATTAGCAATAGAGTAATCCTAAGATGATGGAAGCGGTTCTTATAAATAATTTCCTAAAAAGCCTCCTAACTGCTTTAAGTGTGCATTAGTTTACCTGATGGAGTTGTCGATTTTATATAAGGGAAGTAGGTTGTCTGTTTGCTGAGGGAGAGGTCATCTTAGGAAGTGACCGATAAAGAAAAGTCACAGCGCATCCATTTAGGATGCCTCAGCATTTGATTAAACATTCTCATTTAATTTTAGATTAATTCCATCCTGGGATGGAAAGAGGAGCACTCCTATCCTAGGAGGGTTGAACTTGGGTTTCCACATTTTAATTGGCTACCATTCAGACTCAGATATAGCCATTTTAATGTTAGAGCAGCAGTTCGATGTCATACATACTGACTAAAGAAAGGTTTGATAAATTCAGGTCAGTTCGACAGTTTGTCTTTGATTCAGCAGAAGGTTTTTCTTTTGGATATGGATCATTTTTGGCGCTTGAAGGTTGAGAAAACTTTATTCTACTTATACATTTTAGATTTTGTCTCATAACAGCTCAATGTTCATAACTTTTATGGACAGAATTTTCTATTTTCTTCTTCTTGTCCTCTATTGGCTTCATCAGGACATGATCTACAGCTCTCACTGGAGCGGTTTGCAGCTGAGTGTGAAGCGGCTGGGATGAGGATGAGTGCCTGCAAATCCGAGACCATCGTCTTGAGCCGGAAAAGGGTAGAGTGCCTTATCCGGGTTGGGGAGGATGTACTGCCCCTAGTGGAGGAGTTTAAGTATCTTGGGGTCGTGTTCACGAATGAGGGGAAGATGGAGTGGAAGATTTGATTAATCAATAGATCTTTATTTATACCTAGAACAATTAAGTTCACAGTGATTTAATGAATTTTGCGTTAATCCCTGAAAAAAATATTTTTCGTCCCAATCACTAAGTCCGGGACTGTCCAATTTTGCCCAAACACCTCACTCCTGACAGCTTTTGGCATTGACGTCACGGTGCGGTAAACCTAGCGCCAAATACATGATTGATGCTATAACTTATTTTTAAAAGTCTTTTGAAGAATTCTTCCATCAACTTTACCAATCTAGAGACTCAGATTAGTTGGATCACATCTTGGCTGCATCACAACCTGCCGCCAGGATCTTGGTTAACTTCAGGTCAGGAATTTGACGGGACCATTCCAGTGCATAAGGCCGGCTTTTATTGCATCCATCTAAACCAGGGGTGGGCAATTCTTGTTCCTGAGGGGCGGTTTCCTGCAACTTTTAGATCCACCCTTGGTCCAACACACCTGAAACAAATGACTGACTTACCTCCTCAGTATGCAGTCAGTTCCTCCTGTGTCCTATTAATCGTCTAATTACTTTATTTAGGTGTGTCGAACCAAAGGCACATCTAAAAGTTGCAGAATGCCGGCCCTCAGGAACAGGAATTGCCCACCCCTAATCTAAACCTTTAATCAAATCCTTTTAATCCCTGGTTGTATATAAAAGGTCACTGTGCTAGGAGGTAAACCTTCATTCCAGTTTCAAACCATTTAAATTGTTTTTCTCATCAACTTTAATCATCTCCACTGTCCTGTTGAAGAAAGCTTTCACTCAGCATGATACTGCAAAAACCAAGCTTTAGTTTTGGCCCTGAATTTCTATGATTATATCCAGTGTAGGCTATAATATTTTGGATATAGGCTTAAATATAATTTAATTCTGGTCTAATCTTACCAAAGTACCTTTCACATGTTGGGCTGTGTCCCCTACTTGTTGGCAACCCTGATGGGTAGAGCACATAGCTAATTTATGGATTCGCCCACCTGCAGAAAATGACTGAAAAAGAGGAAAAGTACAATTACAGGTAAAGGGGGTAACATAGTGCAAATGTGCTTTATAGATAAACGTGTCCCAAACACAAATGATGCAAACACACACAAAAAAACAGAAAAATGAATGAAAAGACTCCTCCTATGCAAACTAGCTTTGCATAAACAAAAGTTCTCCAGACCATTAAAAGGAGATGAGCATAATCTCGTACGGTAACAGATCATAGATGTGTATTTTGCATGACAGCTTCTCCTAGGTGTTTAAAGCTCATCTAAAAGTTACAGCCCATTTATGTTTGCAGCTTGTTTGAATTTTGCAGCTCTATATTTTATGTGATTCCATTTCTCTTTTGCATTGCTTTTCCTTCCAATCTTTTTAATGTTTTCAGTAGTCTTTATTTTTTGTTTGCAGGACTGTTTGTGCTTGCTGCGTGTTTATGTATTTGCGGCGTGTGTGCTTCTCCCAGCTACCATATCTTTGGTTACCCTTGGAACAGCCATGTTTTGGTTGATTTCTAGCTGTGCAAAACCTTCATTTTTAGAGAATAGATTGAAAAGAGCTGCTTTAAGTGAGATGTCTAAAACTTTTAATGCTGTTTCTAGGCATGTAGACATGGTCAAGACAATCTCCTGCAGTTCAAACCGAGCATCAGTATGGGGAAGAAAGGTGATTTGAGTGACTTTGAACGTGGCATGATTGTTGGTGCCAGAAGGGCTGGTCTGAGTATTTCAGAAACTGCTTATCTACTAGATTTTCACGCACAACCATCTCTAGGGTTTACAGAGAATGGTCCGAAAAAGAAAAAACATCCAGTGAGCAGCAGTTCTGTGGGCGGAAATGCCTTGTTGATGCCAGAGGTCAGAGGAGAATGGCCAGACTGGTTCGAGCTGATAGAAGGGCAACAGTGACTCAAATAACCGCCCGTTACAACCAAGGTGGGCAGAAGAGTATCTCTGAATGCACAGTACGTCGAACTTTGAGGCAGATGGGCAGCAGCAGAGGACCACACCGAGTGCCACTCCTTTCAGCTAAGAACAGGAAACTGAGGCTACAATTTGCAAAAACTCATCGAAATTGGACAATAGAAGATTGGAAAAACATTGCCTGGTCTGATGAGTCTCGATTTCTGCTGCGACATTCGGAT